GACCTTATATTACTGGGAAATTGGAAGTATAAAACTTCTAACACAGTAAACAGAAGAGATACAGAAAAAAGGAAACGTTCAGATGCTTGGTTTAGTTTTCTATTTCCTGTCCTTAAAAAAGAGGTTTTCAAAAGGGAAAGACAGTATCCTATTAATTTAATTAAAACAGCACTTTTCATGACAAAAAAGTGCTACTTAACAAATGCAAAATGAAAAATATCAATGAGGTAACAATTAACATAATGTACCTGTGCCGAGATAGCTTGAGTCACTGTGTACTCAGTCTCTGCTTTGAACTGTCTCCAAAGTGACTTACATTGCACTGGTGTAATCACAGTATCTTTTGGAGAAACCTAATTCATGTTTGAGGAATTTTAATGAGAAATGTAGTAATTCATTTTAACTAAGAAATCAACAATACCATATTCATACCTCCTCCCAAGTGCTAGAAGCAAGACGGTCTGCAGATGTTACTATACTCCTATCTTGGGAAGATGTAACGGCCATATTTCCATCTAATAGAGATGAAAAGAGTATGTTGTCAATATTATCTGGCTTCTCCTCCAAGCGCACGGCAGCACTAATGGATAAAATTCTTAGAGACTGCAATAGAATTTAGCATTGTATCAGACAATAAAATAGAATGAAAAGAGAAGTGGTATCTTACTTCCCTTCATAAACAAGATAAACAAGCAAATTACCGCAGCACGGGCATCCTTAGTAATTGCCTTAATGTCTTCTTTTCCAGTCCATACTCTTGGCATTGACTCATTGTCATGACTAAAGATTGTTGAGAACCTGCCAATTGCACTCAAAGCATTAAGCAAGAAATTTGATTATTCTAACGAATACTAGAAAACAACAAGGATGAAGTTACTTACCTATCTTTCATATGGATCAGAACTTTTCCGGCTTCTTCTCTTGCTTTTTTCTCCACCATGTTTCTTGCATAATCCCTTAAATCTTGCACCATATTGTCAATGGTGGCTTGGTCTAACTCAAAACCAGAAATGGCAGTTAAAAACTTTGAAACAGCTGTCTCTGTCACATGTTTAAGAAGCCTTCTTATTGAAGCCCATGTGTCCTTCCCACCACCTTCAAGTAATGACTCCACTGGTTCTGTCAGTGCTTTACTAAGTTGTTTCTGCAAATCAGTAGGGAGTCAACATTGACATAACTGTTAAAATACTTAAGACATGTATGATTTGAGGACGTGCACTGATGAGAGAACAATTACAAAGTATTGGATTAACCAAGAAACATACCTCATAATTTGCTACCAATTCTGATAATTTTGCACTACAAACAGATGATGCATGTCCATCAATATCACGACGAAGTTTTTCTTGGACTTTTGAGGCATCCCAGTGAGCCTGTTCAATGGCAGCATCTGAAGGACAAGAACATAAAACACAAATCATAATAGAACAATCTTGTACACTTACAGTAT